GAGTTGAAGTCCTCCAGGCTTAAAGTTGCCAAGGTTGGAGACCCCTGCCCTACACCATTCCTGACAGAGGGCAGTCCAGACTCTTCCTGAAAGCTTCCAGTGATGAAGCTCCCACAACTTCTGAAGGCAACTTCTGTTCCACGGGTTGATTGTCCTCTACCATATATGGCTGTTTTGAAAAAGGAAAGTGAATCTAACGCAAACAAGGAGATCCAGTTCTGCAATTAACCTTAGGAAGTCCTGAAATTTGACCAGGGAACTCAGATCAGAGCTGGTTCTGTAACTGACTGATTCCTGACCAGTTGTTCTGCTTACCTCCACCAAGATCAGCTTGCAACGTAAGGGGACGGTATCTGGAAATTCCTCTCCAAAACACAGAATCACTTTGCTGTTCGGAAGGCGTCCTTGGTTGTTATAATACTGATGGAGCTCTTGAAAGGGAGGAGTGAAAAAAAAAAAAAGCAAATTTTAATTCATTGAAACCAGGAATAGCAATAACACTTAGACTTATATACCACTTCTAAGCGGTTTACAGCGTCAGCCTCTTTCCTCCAACAATCTGGGTCCTCATTGTACCCACCTCGGAAGGATGGAAGGCTGAGTCAACCTTGAGCCGGTCAGAAACGAACTCCTGGCAGTTGACAGTGTCAGCAATACTGCATTCTTTTTTTTTTTCCAAAAAAGTTTTAAATTTTTTAATTTTTACACATCTCTTTACACGGGCAACATGGTTCCAGATTATAACACTTGTACATAGTCATACTTTCATTTCCACCAATCTTATATAATATCATCTCATACCATTATCCATTTCACCCATCTTTAAATAAATTTCTATTTCATATTTCAATTCATTAATTCAATATCAATATCATTTCATCCAAATATAGATTCCCAGTTCTTTATCCCTATTATTTCTGTTTTCAACTTACTACCTATTTTATTTAACATTACACATCTTTATTATCCTTAATTTTCCCTAAGCAATACTGCATTCTAACCACTGCACCACCATGGACTTTGCCTCCCTTCTTCCTCCCTCCCTCCCTCCCTCTCTTCTTCCCTCCCTTCTTTCCTTCCTCCCTTCTTCCTCCCTCCCTCCCTCCATTCCTTCCCACTTAGCACTTAGACTTATATACCGCTTCACAGTGCTCTCACGGCCCTCTCTAAGCAGTTTACAGAGTCAGCCTCTTTTCCCCAACAATCTGGGTCCTCCTTTTACCCACCTCAGAAGGACAGAGGGCTGAGTCAACCTTGAGCCTGGTGAGATTCGAACTGCCAGATTGCAGGCAGATGGCAGTCAGCAGAAGTAGACTGCAGTACTACACTCTCACCACTGCACCACCGTGGCTCATAGGTGATTGGTCTCCCTATGCTCAGCAGCACACAAACCCCCAAAAAAGGTCTCACTAACCTCTGAGGAAGTAGTTGGTGTCAAAGATTTTGACCACCTCATCCCGGTCCAGTTTGTTGGGTTTCTCCCTGCAGGCCATGGTGTTCCCACTCCAGAAGACCCTTCCCTGGCTGAGCCGCTTGATGAAGATGCCTTGCTTGTTGCAGTGCAGAAGGACGCCCCGTTCGAGGTGCCCAAAGAGCTTTCTGGTGATCTGCCTCTGGCGCTCGTTGGGTATCAGCTCTGCAGATGGGAACTGCACGTGTTCCAGGCTATCCTGGCAATAGGGCACCTCTCCCAGGGAGATCCGGCAGCCTTCGGGCCGAGAGGTGGTTGTGTTCCCCACCAGCTTCCCTCCATAGTAGAAGTTGATCATCATTTGGGAGTAGGCTACAAAGTCACACAAGGTAGAAAGCATCAGGTAAGTGTGCTGGTTTGGGTGACTGCAAGGGGTGGACCCGTGTGGCCAAAAATGGGACAATGGTGTGGAAGAAGAAAGGATTCCAGGATTCAAGTCAAAGAGAAGATGACACTAAACAGGTTGGCTCCCCCAAACTAACATCAAAGTTCTGCCCTCAAATGTAAATTGATTATTGGTGTTGGGGTCTTGCATTTGATCCCACAGTATTATTGGTATTAATATTAATATCCATTCTGAAAACTCCACTCTTCCCAAAGGCACGCCTAAGGCTCTTTGACATGGAAAAAGAAATGAAGCTAATTGAAAAGGAAGAGGTCACATCACATTTCATTGTATGCAATGAAATTTCATTTTAATGTATGCTGATTAGTGTACATTTAACATGACAATAAAGTTAGTCTAAGTCTAAACTAATCACACTGGATACTGATTGAAAGACCATACCTAGAAGAGGCTCATATGCAGCAAACCCAGTCATCAGGGACAAAGCTATGGTAAAAAAAAAAGAAGAAGAAATTATTATTAATTTTTCTTCTAAGCAGAAGAGAACATCTGAAATCTCCAAATTAAGGCTTCCCTTCTCTAACTTCTGTGCTGGATTAAATTCAGACGAACTACTTCATCTAGGATGAGTGCTGTTGACTCATTGGGAGTAACGCTTGAAAGTCTCCACCACTTTCTACCATCTGAGATTGTGATGTCTCTACGTTGGACATTGAACTTTGTGCCTTCTGCCAGAAGTCAGTCTAGGTTCAAGACTAGCAACTGACACCCTGGATGTAAGTCAAGGGCCGATTTAATTGGGTTTTGTTGTCCTTCTTGAAATTTGGCATCCTAATTCACCTGGTTCCATGGGCAGCCACCAAGTTCACCTACATGGACTGGCTGTCCTCACCTTTGTCACCAAAGTAAGAGCACAACACTACTGAATTAACACAATGACCTGGCCAGTTTATACTGCAAACTCAATGGTCTTGTTTATTTATTCCAAAAATAAGTACTAACATAATTGCCTTCTCTGTGCCTAGGAGAAAGGAATGAGTTTGGAAAACATAGTAAGTCCAGAACATCTGGAGATTCCTTTTTTTTTAATCCAGCAAACCATTCATTACCTCTCCTGTTCAACAAAGGGTGCTTATCTTGAGGATGAAAATAGCTCTTCCCTAGCAAATTCAGACATAAGTAAGATCTTAAAAGTTTTTAGTCATCAAGATGTATGGAACATTATGGTGTTTGTTCTCTTTCAACAAAGAAATTAAAGAAGCCTCGGTGAGAATCTTGTTGGGTGCAGCTGGCTGTTGGAAGTTTGAAAAATATATTTTGCCAGCATTACAATGAAACAACTCTGCCCATCATTCATCTTTCACATTGTGTTTGGTATCATATGAATACGTCTGGACAATTTGTCGAATCGAAGTCCACTTTATATTCTTTCTGTAGTCTTTCACACAGACTTCTTGTTGTGGTTCGCTGGCAGCCGGTGCAGACGACAGTCGAGTCGGACAGTGAGGAAGAAAGGGGACCAGTCCGGGAGTCTGGGGAAGACTCAGACGAGGGTCCTGCGTCCGATGCAGGGATGGGGCCAGGACCATCTGGGAGTGGGGTCCTGCCTTTGGAGCCTTCAGAGTCCGGCAGCAGTGAGGCAGAGGAACAAGGGGAGCCTGTTCCCAGTGCGTGTGTGTGCAGAGCTGCTAGAAGTTGAGAGCAGCTGAGACAAAAGGGGTGACTCAGGAGTAAGGCTGGGAGGTGATTGGCCCCTCCCACCAGGGATAAAAGTCAGTCCTCGATGATGAAGAGCTTTACAGGAAGCAAAGCAGTTCAGTAATCTCCGAGTCCTTCGTGAAGCTCTGTACTCTGGTTGTTGTTGGTTTTTTTCTGGGTTTTTGGGTTGGTTTATGTTTAGCCTTAATCGGACTTCTATTTCTTGGCAGAGTTCTGCAGCACTGAAAAGCGTGCTCTTATCTGGAGGAACTGTGTCTAATTAGTTTTGTCTGGGAATGCAAATTATTCCCAGTGTTGCATTAAAAGATTTTGCTTTTAAACTAAGTTTGTGTTTCATTAAGTTTGGTGAAGCCTGGGTCAGAAGGCTTATGACTGAGGAATTAAGGCAGCCATGGACAATATAATCTTGATGGAATTGACCCAAGTCCTTCACCCAACAATCTTATATGATGAGAGTGGCATTGCCTGCTCTCTCCATCCCCCAATCAATGGATGCCTATGACAAAGGATGAGTTCTGTCTGAGCTTGCTGGTTTGCTTACAGATGTTTCATGGCCCAGCCTCATCAGTGTGATTGATCACGTTATCTAGTTGAATAATGAATAATGAAACAGCTGCAAGCAAAGAGTCAACCAGGGTCAGGGAGCACCAAGAACTTCACAATTCAACCCTGAGCTACAGATATTCTCTCCTTACCAGGACTTGACTGATGAATCCACCAGTCTGGGATGGGTGGGTTTCTGCAGCTCTCCTGTAGTGGTGAAGGGCTCCTTTTGATTGTGCCAAGGTATTCCTCTACACCCGAAGGAGTCTGGGGAGTTTATGGAGAAGAAGACAGGGAACCTTGAGATGACCAAGCAGACAGAACTGCCACCCGAAAGCAGCTTATTGTTGTGACCCAAAGGGGCGTGGCACAAAGGCAACACAGTCACATAAGCAAAAAGAGTCCTTTTAATAACTCCAACTTTGCCCCCAATGTCCAGATTACCTTCGGCTGGAGAAAAAACTCTCAGAAACAGCCTTTAAATGGAGGAAATTCAGTCCGAAAACAAAGTACATTCAAAATGTAACTAAAAATCCACACAAACCACGCTGCGGCAATTAACTTGACAGGGCAGGATAAAGAATTGCAGACTTGAAAAGCCAGCACAACACACGCAGTTGGGAAGACGCCAGGAACACAGATAAGCCTTGACAATACCAGATAATTCACAATTTGCTTCCAACAGTTTGCTGTGCGCAATTTCCCTTTTTAAATACTGTGTTCCCAGCTGCAGGTAATGAAGGGAATCAGGGCCCTTTCCTACCCAGTAAGCCACGCAACCCACGTTGCTCCCTTCTCAGTTCCTCCCTGAGTGCCCAAGGATGAAGAGGGGTTGGGCCTGGGTCTTCCTCTGAATTCCAACTCCCTTGCTCTACCTCTTCCCTGCTCTGCCCAGCCAGACTTTGCCCTTCCCCAGTTTCTTCCACAGCCAACAGAGCCACACTCCCACTCCCTGTCAGCTGCTCAGCCTCCCACTCCGAATCAGATTCCGACAGGTGCATGACACCTATCTTGCCATAAACCATTCTGAGATTGGCTGTCTCTGAATGCCATATAGAGTGGCCCATTTTTATTTGTATGTCTATGATCTTTCTTCCATATTGTCATGCACACTTGTCTTCCTGAGTTGTACTTATTCTGGAGAGGGTGGAAAGAGCTGAAAAGAAGGCTGGAGGTACCTTTCCCACAATCGATTCAATTCCCTCCAGTGTACACAGCCATTAGCACTCAGGAGTTGTCCATTGGGTGGGATTAGAAAAGCCAAAATGGTGGCATGGCAGTGCAATCACAGCTTGCACTTTTGTATGCGTGTCATGTGCTTAAATGTCCATGGAATTCAAATTGGCTTTTTTATCCATGCCCTCCAGATGCCACTGAATCCACCCACCTAGAGAAGAACGGTTGCACCCTAATGGATTAATGGCACCCATCATCAGTGGAAGGACCAAGTCCTAGGAAAGGGTTTTACCAATTTCTTCCATCCTACACCCATTTTATTGGACCAGGGTTTATTTACTCTACTACAATGGCTGTCCTTTTTTTTTCTTCCTCACCACGGATCTCCTTTAAATATATTTTGTGGCCATGGACCCCCCAAGACATAACTCAAGATTTAAGTCATAATATTTTTTTTAAAGTCTTCGCGGACCCCCTGGGATGACATTGTGACCCCTCCAGGAATCTGCAAACCACAGGTTGAGAACCTACAGCTCTACTGTATGGAGAAATTCGGGCCAGAAGAGACAACTCCAGAGAGAGAGAGAGAGAGAGAAAAAATTGATACTTGAAACAAAGTTAATTACCTCTTTCATTAACTCTTCTATGGAGGAAGGATTGCAGTCCATATCTGTGATCTCGTTCAAGGTGCATTTAGGCCCCAGCCCCAGTTTGCCTGAAAGAAAACAGCCTTTGAGTCCTACTGCACACTCTACTGAGGATGTCATTTCGCGAGAGATTCAGAGGGTCTTTGTACAAGGAGATTAACAGAAGAAGAAGCAAAGCAAAGCAAGAAGAAAAAAGGATTCCAAAACCTGTATGTCTAGTTTAGTGAAAAGGAA